GTGTCCTCACGGTGTGGGATTAACAATGTGTTCTCGAAGAAGGACTTTTTTTGCCATTATATAACAGTAAAGATAAATATAATTAATAACTAAACAGCCTGTAGTGTGCTTATTTTGGTTGGAAAATTTATTATAAAGTAATAAATGATCAAATAAAGTTATTGGCAGATTGACATCACATTTATTGTGTGTAAGATTTGAGCAGTGTAAATGTCCTTGTTAATTGGTCTGAACTATCTTTTTTAAGCTGCTGTTAGTTATTAGTAATGTTGCTGTAGGTGTCTATAGCTCTAGGTTTCACCTAATATAAATATATGGTCTGTACATGTTGCCCGTCTCATAATGATTCTCTTTAGTGACAGTTATAATGAGAGAGAAGCACAGAATGTTTCAAATAAATTATGTTAAAGCACTAAACACAAATTTAAGATTCAAACTATCACCGAAGGATGAAGCTGCATATTTTTCATCCATGTTTAAAGATAAGGATGGATTTGACATAAAATACATCAATTCTGATAAAGGTGAGTAAAACAGACCTACGCTTAAGTATTGTTTTAACCTTGCAATGGTTTGTGTGATTGTACATCCCCGTAATTACTGCTGGTTTCACATCGTGTATTGTGGGAAATGGGATGAATTTCTCTTACTCCTGACTGATCTGTTCTTTGTTAGGTCGAGGAGTGTTCAGTTTTTAAAAGGGAGATTTTCTTGTTGAATATCGAGGAGACGTCATAACTAAACAAGAATATGAACGAAGGCGCAGAGTATACCATCGTGCGCTCGAGGTTTTTTTGTTTGAATTTCGTTTTAATGGAAAACAGTTATGGTATTTATATTGCTCTACTTAATTTACAAAGTCTTGCAAATTACAAATTGTATCACAAAATAAAATTTGTTTTTTTTTGACTCATGGTTAAAACTAAAGTAATGATGAACTAGGACGGAATCCATACAAAACATAATTATTGAATATTCGAAACTTATTTACTTATTGTGTATTCAGCCAGTACTTAAAATTGTATTATGTTTGTGTTTTCATGCTGCCAGAGAAGATGGTTCTTTAGGGAGACTTGTCAACGATGATCACATGAACCCCAACAGCAAAATGAAAATAACCACAGTGACATCAGTCCTGGGGAAGAGATTAGCTATAACTGTGGGGATTCGGATTGGCTATGGACATGCAAGGTATTTACAGATGGAACTTAATTTTCACAAGTGATTTGGCTCTGCATAATTTTCTGAGCAAAATTAAGCTTCAACATGTGGAGTGGTTTTGAATAATGTTCTTTTTCAATCATTACAATTTTATTCCACTCCTAATGTTCTAAATGGAAATGTTATATGAACTTAAAGATCTTCAGGCTATTCTGAATGTTTGCTCTTTGTTGTTGAAGTGATGATCTGTGACGGAGTTGGAAAGTGCATATTTTACCTCAAACGTTTTAACCTACTTGCAGTCATTTGAACACAGTTTACTGTTTAAACACTTTGTCAATCATGTGCAGAACTTAAGGTACTGGTACTTTATTTGAATCCATACGGGTGACTTCAGAGACACAACAGCAGTTAGATGCTTTGGTCAGCTGTATAGCAGAGGATGGGACAGAGAAGATAATGTTCTGTGTAATGTGTGTCTGGTGCTAATGCCAGTTCAGAATTTGTCCAAGTTGCAGACTTTCATATACTGTGCTGTGTACGTTTGTCTACTCTTCTAATTTCAATGGAATGCTAGCTCTACAACAAATCTCTCTTCAATTCTGAATTAGCATGCGTTTATATGTCCCCATAATTACTGCTGGTGTCATACTGCCTTGTGGGGGATGGGCAGAAGTTCAGTGCTTCTCTTACTACATTTACCATGGTTTGTGTGTTGTTGTACGTCCCCGTAATTACTATTGGTGTCATACTGTGTATTGTGGGGACTGATAGAACTCGATGTAGGAACAGTTTGTGTGTTTGTACCCTAATTATGTTTATGCCTTACAGTGAAATACATTAGTGGAGCATACATTTTGTTATAATGGAACTATTAAAATGATTTATTTAAACCCCAACTCTCTAGTTCATCTCTTAACATCTATTTCAAGTTTTTCGCTTAAGATAGGATAATCAGATTTTTCTTTGTTTACATGGGTTCATATACCTCTCTTTAGTTCCCTCTTTTTTCCTTTCTTTTTTCCTATCTTATAGTCACACTTTCATTCAAACTGATCATCTGTTGTTCTGTCATCTATCACTTTTGAAAGCATTTTTTCTTTTTTTCTATCTGTCTGGACCATTTTTTTTAAAGCTTGACATCTAAACCACACTCCTCGTCTTTTTCTCTATTTATTCTTTAATCAGAAATATTGTCATCTATCTTTTTACGAGTGGTAATTATTATTTTTTTTGTCCTGTATTTTCTGTCTATCCATCTATCACTATTACTGTAATACGGTTTCTCTTGTCTTTTCTCTTAGCAGTCTTCTATCCCTCTGTCACGTTTTCAGTAATACTCTTCGCATCCATTGACCTGCATCACTTTCTTTCCAACTATCTCTCCTTTCTTTTTTCCTCTTTTCAATTATTCTCACATTCTATCCATCCATCACTTCCTTTTATGACTTTCTTCTCGACATTCTTTGTCTGCAACAACTTTACTTTTTTTAAATACTTATAGAGTTAGTCACATGAACCAACCTTATGTTCATTATATCCTCTGTCTAGTTTGCTCCTGCTTCTGGCATGAAACCTGCTACAATAAAAAAAGTGAAGTGCAATCCTGACCCCTTAACATCGGCAAACATATTTTATTGAATTAATTTTTCACCCCCCAGGTCATCAAAGCTATATCTGGCTTTCTTTCTTCAACCAAAGAGAAACTAAGGTTTTGGCGGAAAACATCTAATGCAAGTAAATGGGGATCAGTGTAGACCATTTTTGACACTCCGAAATCCATATTTGGGCAGCTTCAAAGTAATCCACACGACTCCAACCCACAAATAAGGATCTTCTCTACCAAAACCATAACTCCTTTTCAGAAAAAGTTATATAAAAACATACAGACTTGAACTACAAATGATCACCTTGGGCCAGCTCTACGATGCACGTTCAGAAGACGATTTAGTTCACGACTTCTCGCATGACATATGCACGTTGGGAAGTTTACATATTATGCATCCAGGATGCACACCTGAACAGACCTTTTTTTTAACAATAACCTGACACAAATACCAATATATAGTGATGAACATTAAACTTTTGGACAGCGTTCTTTCTCCATACTTGTAAACAATGGGGCTGTTCTTCCAGTATACCTCTTGGGTGTGACCTTCCCATTCATTAAATGGAGAAAAATCCTGGAACATTTTCCTCTGGAAATTGGAACTTCATTTTCTTTTCAGCTAAAGAAAGTGAGATAGATAGATAGATAGATAGATAGATAGATAGATAGATAGATAGATAGATAGATAGATAGATAGATAGATAGATAGATAGATAGATAGATAGATAGAATAGATAGATAGATAGAATGATGGCCCGTGTAAATAAGGAAATTTTTATTTACAGGTGAACCTTTCCTTTGAAATGCATTTTGTTACATTTGTAAGAGATCTTTTATTATAATTTTCCCCCCCCTGTTTCAGAATTCTGAACAATTTTCCAGTGAGGACATGCCAGATCAGGACTATGTACCTGATTCTTCTTCAGACAGTTCCGAAGGGAGCATGGGGAGCGTAAGAACAACTCTCAAACTTTCAAAGTATTAAAGTGTCTAAAGAATCTACTGCAGAAATTCAAACTGGCAGACAATGCCAAGAAAACCTCATTAACTGCCAAGATTCACTGCCAAAAGATCCAGTCTGCACAGCTGAGGATAGCACAGGAATTGGGGAAGATCTATGTGTGCAGTCGTCAAATATAACCTCATCAGTGAGCAAGAAGAATTACTGCTACATTTGTGGAAAACCACAGTCAAAATTTACACATCACTTAAAAATCCATGAGAAAACAAATGTGGATGTTGCTCAAGTTTTTGCACTGCCAAATCACTCAAAAGAACGTAAAAAAAAATACTGGACAAACTGCAGAACAAAGGGAACTTTGAGCACAATAAAGATGTTTTAGCAAGTGGGAGCGGATTGTTAAAACTCAGATGCAAACCATAGAAAAAATATGGTTCAAAGGACTATGTGCATTGTATGTATTGCAATGCAATGTTTCTCCGGAAAGATCTGTGGCGACATGTTCGAAATTGTCTTTCAAAACCACTGGAAGATCGAGCAGAGCCAGGAAGAACTAGGGTCTTGTCTTTGGCAACAATGTCTAATACAGCTGTGTCCACAGATATCACCGGGTGTTTGGAAGCTATTAACTGTGATAAAAGACAATGACATCTCTGCGGCTTTGCGGCGTGGCTTCTGCATTCTTCAGCTGGCCCAATCATTTTTCAATAAACATGGACAGGATCCCACCAAATATGACTATATTCGACAGAAGCTCCGGGAACTTGGAAGACTTCTGCTGAATTTGCAATGAGAATTTTCGCTACAGACTCTTGAGGATGCTGTAAGACCTGTAAATTTTGAGGTGGTTATCCAAGCTGCCAAGAAGGTGGGTTTGATGTAGAAAATAACTCCTACCAGACTCCAAACCTTGCTCTTAAGTTGGGCCACTCCTTGAAAAAGATATGTGACAGAAACAGAAACCAATAGTAAAATCTTGAACAAGTCTAGTATTTAATCTTAATTTCAACTTCTCATTTACAGAATAGTATAAAATCAATATGACCAAAAATAATGGATTGAACCCAGGACTTTCTGCATGTATAGCAGAAGTGATGACCACTACACTATAGAACAAGTTGTTGTATTCTGTTATCTGTATGCTCATACATGTTGTAGGATACTCATCATTAATGAGGAAAGTCCCATCATGGTGAGATGGCTCATGAGGATTTGTTACTCACCACTGCCACACAACCTTATTGGTTTATATTGCAATTCACAAATGTATGTTTCCTCTGGAGGTCGAACCGAGGACTTTCTGCATGTAAAGCAGATGTGATGACCACTACACCATAGAACCAGTTAATGCACCCTACTATCTGTATGCTCATACATGTTGTAGGATACTGCTTATTAAGGGAAACTCCTAAAGGGTTGGATAATTCATGAGGTTTTGTTATTCACCATTAGCACACAACATTACTTGGTTTTCATTGCAATTCTCAAATAACTTGGTTTTCATTGCAATTCCCAAATCTATGGTTCCACTGGGGGTTGATCCCAGGACTTTCTGCGTGTAAAGCAGATTTGATGATCACTACACCGTAGAACCAGTTAATTCACCCTACTATCTGTATGCTCATACATGTTGTAGGATACTGGTTATTAAAGGAAAATCCAAAATGGTCTGACCATTCACAAGGTTTTGTTACTCACCAGTAGCACACAACCGTACTTGGATTTCAGTGCAATCCAATGAATGGTTCCACTGGGGCTAAACCCAGGACTTTCTGCGTGTAAAGTAGACGTGATGACCACTACACAGTAGAACCAGTTGCTTCACCCTACTATCTGTATGCTCATACATGTTGCAGGATACTGGTCATTAATGAGGAAAATTATTGAAAGCCTATCATGGTTAGATGACTCATGAGAACTTGTCACTCACCACAGACTTATTGCTTTCATTGCAATTCAAAAATGTATGGTTCCACTGGGGATTGAACCCAAGACTTTCTGCGTGTAAAGCAGATTTGATGACCACTACACTATAGAACCAGTTAATGCCGCCTACTATCTGATTGCTCATACATGTTGTAGGATACAGGTTATTAAAGGAAAATCCAAAATGGTCTGACCATTTCTGCGTGTAAAGCAGATGTGATGACCACTACACTATAGAACAAGTTGTTTTATTCTACTATGTGTATGCTCATACATGTTGTAGGATACTCATCATTAATGAGGAAAGTCCCATCATGGTGAGATGGCTCATGAGGATTTGTTACTCACCACTGCCACACAACCTTATTGGTTTATATTGCAATTCCCAAGTGTATGGTTCCACTGGGGATTGAACCAAGGAATATCTGCCTGTAAAGCAGACATGATGACCACTACACTTTGGAAACAGCTGCTTTAATGCATTTTCTCAAACTGCATACATGTTGTAGGGTACTGGTTATTAAAGGAAAATCCAAAATGGTCTGACCATTCATGAGGTTTTGTTACTTACCAGTAGCACACAACTTTGGTTTTCATTGCAATTCCCAAATTACTTGTATTTCATTACAATTCCCAAACACATGGTTCCACTGGGGGTCCATCCCAGGACTTTCTGCATGTAAAGCAGATGTGATGACCACTACACTATAGAAACTGCTGTTTCACCCTACTATCTGTATGCTCATACATGTTGTAGGATACTGCTTATTAAAGGAAAATCCAAAAAAGGGCTTGAGGATTCATGAGGTTTTGTTACTCACCAGTAGCACACAACCTTACTGGGTTTTCATTGCAATTCACAAATGTATGGTTCCACTGGGGATTGAATCCAGGACTTCCTGCGTGTAAAGCAGATGTGATGACCACTACACTATAGAACCAGTAGGTTTGTTTCATTATCTGTATGTGCATACATGTTGTAAGATACTGGTCATTAATGAGGATAATTTGTGAAATCCTATCATGGTTAGATGACTCAGGAGAACTTTTCACTCATCACAGCCTTATTGGTTTATATTGCAATTCACAAATGTATGGTTCCACTGGAGGTCGAACCGAGGACTTCCTGCATGTAAAGAAGATGTGATGACCACTACACCCTAGAACCAGTTGCTTCTCCCTACTATCTGTATGCTCATACATGTTGTAGGATACTGGTTATTAAAGGAAAATCCAAAAGGGTCTGACCATTCATGATGTTTTGTTACTCACCATTAACACATGAACTTACTTGGGTTTTATTGGAGTTCCCAAATAACTTTGTTTTCATTGCAATTCTCAAATGTATGGTTCTACTGGGGGTCAATCCCAGGACTTTCTGCGTGTAAAGCAGATGTGATGACCACTACACCATAGAACCGGGTAATTCACCGTGCTATCTGTATGCTCATACATGTTGTAGGACTCTCGTTATTAATGAGGAAAATAAGAGAAAACCTAACAGGTTAACCCAATTTATGGGGATTTGTTACTCACCATAAGCACACAGCCTTACTCGGTTTTCATTGCAATTCACAAATGTATGGTTCCACTGGGGGTTGAACCCAGGACTTTCTGCGTGTAAAGCAGACGTGATGACCACTACACTATAGAACCAGTTAGCTTGTTTCATTATCTGTATGTGCATACATGTTGTAAGATACTGGTCATTAATGCGGTAAATTAGTGAAAACCTATCACGGTTAGATGATTCATGAGAACTTGTCACTCACCACGGCCTTATTGGTTTATATTGCAATTCCCAAATGTATGGTTCCACTGGGGGTTGATCAGAGGACTTTCTGCGTGAAAAGCAGATGTGATGACCACTACACCATAGAACCAGTTAACGGACCCTACTATCTGTATGCTCATACATGTTGTAGGATTTATATAATCCAAAAGGGTTCAGGATTGTTTCACCAGTAGCACCACTACTGGTTTTGCATTCAAATGTATGGTTCCACTGGGGTGCCAGGCTTCTCGTAAAGCAGATGTGATGACCACTACACTATAGAACCAGTTAAATCACCTTACAGGTTATTAAAGGATACAGGTTATTAAAGGAAAATCCAAAATGGTCTGACCATTTCTGCGTGTAAAGCAGATGTGATGACCACTACACTATAGAACAAGTTGTTTTATTCTACTATCTGTATGCTCATACATGTTGTAGGATACTCATCATTAATGAGGAAAGTCCCATCATGGTGAGATGGCTCATGAGGATTTGTTACTCACCACTGCCACACAACCTTATTGGTTTATATTGCAATTCCCAAATGTATGTTTCCTCTGGGGATTGAACCAAGGAATATCTGCCTGTAAAGCAGACATGATGACCACTACACTTTGGAAACCGCTGCTTTAATGCATTTTCTCAAACTGCATACATGTTGTAGGATACTGGTTATTAAAGGAAAATAGAAAAGAGTCTGACCATTCATGAGTTTTTGTTACTGACCATTAGCACACCACCTTACTGGGTTTTCATTGCAATTTCCAAATTACTTGTATTTCATTGCATTTCCCAAATCTAGGGTTCCACTCAGGGGGTTGATCCCAGGACATTCTGCCTGTAATGCAGATGTGATGACCGCTACACTATAGAATCGGTTGCTTCTCCCTACTATGTATTGCTCATACATGTTGTAGGACTCTCGTCATTAATGAGGAAATTAGAGAAAACCCAACTGGTTTACACAATTCATGAGGTTTTGGTACTCACCATTAGCACACACCCTTACTTGGTTTTCATTGCAATTCCCAAATGTATGGTTTCACTGGGGATTGAACCCAGGACTTTCTGCCTGTAAAAGAAGACATGATGACCACTACACTTTGGAAACAGCTGCTTCAATGCATTTTCTCAAACTGCATACACGTTGTAGGATACTGGTTATTAAACGAAAATCCAAAATGGTCCAGTGGGGATTGAACTCAGGACTTTTTCCGTGTAAAGCAGACGTGATGACCGCTACACTATAGAACAAGTTGTTTTAATCTACTATCTGTATGCTCATGTTTGTTGTACTTCATTTATATTGTACTTCCACTGGAGTTCGAGTATTTTTCTATTTGCAAAGGCAGACAAGATGACCACTACACTATGGAACCAGTTTTGTCAAAGCATTATCTGTATTTTCATACATGTTGTAGGGTACTGGTCATTAATAATCCCACAGGTGTAGTTAGTTCAGGAGGTTTTGTTACCCACCACTGCTAGCTAAAAATACATGAATGAATGTAGGGAATGAAGTTGTTCACTCTGAATTTGGACATCACTACAAAATGGCCAATACCCTATGTAATATAGTATATAGGCGATAGTGAGTGGTTTGTCATTGCCAGCTCCAAATGGGTGGGACTTTAGCTACAACTGGGAGGGTCAGCTCCAAATGGGAGGGTCAGCTCAAAATGGGTGGGACTTTAGCTCCAAATGGGAGGATCAGTTCCAAATGGGAAGGTCAGCTTCGAATGGATGGGACTTTATCTCTAAGTTGGATTTACAAACCTACAAACAAATCAAAAAGACTTTGATTGGTTACTGTAGTGTTTGACACGTAAACTAAGCTGTCTTTCCCCTCCCCCCGAAACAATACAGCAGCTTGACAGAGTTAAATGGGTAAATTTACAGTTTTTAATTTAAATTATTGAGAAACTGAATTCCAAGATTATGTAGAATCAACAAAAAGAAGTTTTAGAATTTTTTTAGCCATTTTATAATGTGCTTGCTGTGTATGCACCAGGTTACGCTAAGGGAAGATGAGGCAAGCACCAGTTAATTTTACCCAGAATTGTGCAGTTGGTCATGCATGCAATCAAGCTGTTCTAAAGAGTAATGTCATTATATATGCTGAAAAAATATATGGCACCTTTCTATGGACTATAAATGTATGTAAAATGTAATTTTCATTTCTGAGTAACTTGTACATATTTTGTAGTAGATTTTGTTATAAAGGAATAGTTCACCTAAAAACAAAATCACTGAGCAATAAAAAAAATGTTGGTTATAAAGTTGTTACACATTCACCTCACTGAGTACAGTTATATCTTGTTTTAAGTTTGTTTCCACTTTTTTAAAAGGTGTTTATGTCATCATTTATCACCATGCACCTTTGCACTCAGAGTTCTCATCAGCAATTGCCAATCATCCTTGCCATCACTTCTGGATTTTTGCCTAAATATCACCCATTTCTGAAACCCCACCTACTTGAGCATCTGAATGCTGTGTCCTAACCGCCCTCAACTCAGGACACAGATGTCCACGGAATATTCGAGTCATCTCCAAATTAATCCATTCTCTGATAAGCCGTGGTTTTGCTTGTTACCTTGCAGTGACAGACACTTTGCTTTTGTCAGGCTTGGCAACAGGCAAACAGTTCAACGGAATGATATCTTTTGCAGACTGTCCAACTCAGAAATCCAGGCAGGCAATGCGAAATAAAATTTGACAGTAGGAAAAAGTGGGGTGGACAAAACCTAGATTTTGAAATGTGGGGGGATGTATAATGGCTCCTATGCCTATGTGTTATTTTACCTAGCTGCTCTGAGCAGCTACTGTATTCATGTCTAGGTGATTTGTTGGTACCTACAAGGCTACAGCAGCGGGAAGAGCTTTCTCTTACAAAGCCCCACAGTTATGGAACAGTCTTCCAATTGGTGTTCGGGACTCAGACACAGTCTCAGTGTTTAAGTCCAGGCTGAAAACATGTTTGTTTACTCAAGCTTACCATGAATAGACTATCTTTTATGCAAATTAAACAGTCTTATCCATTACGGGATAGTAAGCATACCTAACAATCTCACCCTCTCTTTACCTCCCTCTCCCGTTCTCCTTCTGTTGAGCCACACATGATTTTATGGAGATGCCAGTGATCCTGACCCTTTCTGCTCTCCAGAGCTGCCTGATCCATCCTGATGCCCTACCTCTGGTTGGAGCTGTCATCAACTGGAGGCCACATTCTGCTACTGAGGACGACCCAAGCAGTGCAGCCTGGAGATTGCTGAGGACGGTGCCACTTGAAGTACCATGGAAATGGTTTTGGATATCAATTTCACATGGACATTCTCGCTGTGGTTGCTGGGACTACGGTTGCTGCAATGGCCTTAGGACTGCAATTACCACATACAATTTTATACTCAAGTCTCCTTTGGTGAACAGAGGACTAGTTCAACAAAACAGACTTCATATAAAAACCATAATGAACTTTCCTTTACTTTCACACTATCCGTTGTTACCCAGATGAGGATGGTTTCCCTTCTGAGTCTGGTTCCTCTCAAGGTTTCTTCCTTATATCATCGTAGGGAGTTTTTTCACGCGGCTTGCTCATTATCTTCTTTGAGACAATATCCATTGTTAAAAGCACTATACAAATAAAACTGAATTGAATTGAAGTGAAGAGGCCAAACTCCCTGTAGACAATGTGTAAAGTAGTTACTGAATAAAAAAAATGACTCCATAAGTTGAATAATACAGTAATATAATATAGCATAGTATAATACAAAACAGTGTAAATAAATGTTTTATATTTTACATGTCACATTTTCTGCATATACCAGACTTGGTTTAGGTGAAATCACAAAAACAAAGAATCTATGTAACTTATTACGAGATATAATATAATAAGGATAAACCTTATGCTTTTAATGTTTTTATGTCATGTCCTTGTTCATACATGTTTGGAGGCTGTGTGTGTTTGGGGGGATGGCATCTGTAACAGTGAAGCCACCTCCCTGGAATGAGGTTGTGCAGGTTGGGATGTTTGTAGTGTTCATTAATGAGGAAAATTTGTGGGAAAACCCACAGGTATAGTTAGTCACTGTTACTGGCAATAAATACACAACCTTGCTTAGTTTATGTTGCGCTTCAAAAATGTATGGTCTACCAGTACTTTCTGTGTGTAAAGCAGAGACAGCTACGCTTGACAACTCTAAAATTTGAAGTAGGTCATAGGGTTTTGTTTTAACAACTTTTATTTCACAGAGGTTAAAGTTGGGCTTTACCAGAGATTTTACAGATCTATGTCGTGGTAAATGTATTTGAACAAATAAATCTCTGAATGTAAATGTGATTTTGGATCTTGCATTTATTTCCAAAAAAATACTTGGTTTAATAATAAAGTAAAATTAATTTAAAAACAAAACATTTAAATGAATAATTAAACAATCAATAATAAATAATGAATTATACTCACTACTCATTTTAATATTGTCTAGAGTGACATGATCATTTGTCAGTTATAATATTGCTCTAGACTACAAGAAAAGCATACTTTTAAAAATGATTTCAACCAATTAACCAACAGATTAAAAAAAAAAGCTGATGCTTCCTCGGATAGGCTCCAGCTTCCCCGCGACCCTGAAGAAGGAATAAGTGGTAGAAGATGGATGGATCCCAGAACAGTCTAGTGAGCTGTGAGAGTCGCTATCCTGTATCATATGGAAGGACGTGTGGAGCACATGGTATGATTCCTGGATGACATAGGCTTGCCGTTTAGCATATTTAAAAAGATTTTTTTTTAAATGTGATCAGTTATAACTAAACAGTATTTTAATTCAGTGTGTGCAAATTTGCTCTGTGAACAATTCTGCTAATGTCCACATCCTGTTAAAAGTGTGCTTGCTGTCCTGCTGAGGTGCTCTTTCATTGCTGCAGCTGCAACAACATGGCTAAAATGTTCCGTACCCTTACAGTCTTAATCACTGCTTTTAGCATATTACAAGGTAAGCCTGCTGAGTATTTTTCGTCATTTGGTGTGACTGCTGTACTGCTTTTGAACTAATCTAGAAGTATGTTTTTTTTATGTAGAAGACTTTTTCAATGATGTTTACATTTTACATTGGTATTTGTACATTGTACAGTTGTATTTTATACAGTTTTTTTTATTGATCATCAGTGATGGTTCTGGTTACACTTGAAAACAGAGGTCCAACGAATTATTCATTCACTGCTATTAAAAACTCTATGTTCGCTGATTCATTTATTTATTTATTTTTGCTTTTTTTTTTAAACTCATGTACACCAAGACTTGCCTAGCATGATGGATAACAGCTTAATCTTTCTTACAATATAAAGTGTACCCATGCAAACAGTGAATAAACAGAGTGAGATATTACTATGCTCCAGTTGAAGAAACCACACCTCTGCTATATAGCCACATCCTGGTAAGAGTGTGGATTCAGCCAACAAGCTGTTTCATTGCTGCTGCTCTATATCGACTACGTTTGCTTAACAACATGGCTAAAGTGCTACAAGTCATTTCAGTTTTAATCACTGTTTTCAGCATATTACAAGGTAAGCCTGCTGAGTAATTTTCATCAGTTCATGGAACTGTTATACTGCTTTCGAATTTCACAAACTACAAACCTCATGCCTGAATGGAAAAATATCTTTAGTGTAAAAATGTGGAAATGTAAATTTTATATATACTGTCAAACCGCACTGTAAAACCGAAGTTCATTTAACTGAGCAAACTAACTGCCTCAGTTTGAGTTAAATAGTTATTATATTTAAGTGTATTTGGCTTTAATTAATCAACTTAAAAAATTTCAGGTAATTAGTTTCCGCAAATTTTTTGAGTTAAATGAATTTATCCGGTTTTACGGTGTAGTTAATTTGTCAGTATTTCACAATTTAGATTGGACTAAATTGGTTGTAGGTTTAAGAATACTCTCCACATTAAAAAACTTCGTTATCATGTTGCATTGTCAATATTTAAACTTCCTTTTCTTGTAACTTTCCTTGTTGGAAGCAAATGGCATATCGAGGTATGCTGCAGTACAAGGGAAATATATGTAAGGAATAAGGAATAAAACACAACAGAGTGTGCAGTTATAACAGGGTGCACTACAGGTTTAATGTTTAATGTTGTGGAATGCCCGCAAAACAAATGATCTTTTGCAGTCACTTACTTTAGAATAACTGTAAAAAGTCACCCGTCACCAACCTCCAAAATTTCTCTCCCTTGATGTTTATAAGACAACATAAAG